AAAAAAAAAAAAAAAAAAAAAAAAAGTTTAAAAAAACAATAAAAATAAAAAGATCTGATACATAGTACATACCGCAAGATTGGAATGATAGTGCTTCCTGTCCCACACCCCAACTCTAAAATAATTGGTTTATGCGGCAGATCGGAGCGCATCAACGCACTTGCATTGCGGCCTGGATTGCCACCATACAGCTCAGGAAATTCCGACAGAAGATATCGCCGCTCCTGTTCCATGTGAGGGCAACGAAGTCAAGCAGTGTAACAATTTACTCCATCATTCGTCAATCAAGTCCTCCTCCACAAATCACTTCCGTTCAATCAACCAATCCACCAATCAACCAATCAACCAACCAATCAACCAATCAACCAATCAATCCAGCAATCCAGCAATCCAGCAATCAAGCAATCAAGCAATCAAGCAATCAACCAATCAACCAATCAACCAATCAATCCAGCAATCAAGCAATCAAGCAATCAAGCAATCAAGCAATGCCTTCACCCCTCAAATTCAGATACAACTCAATTTAGCAAACTGAACGATCCAATTCAATTCAAGTCAATTATACCCCCCCCTCCACGCTGAACCTATTCCACCTACCTACACAGCTCACCCACTCTTCATTACAGGTTTGTTGAGCTTTGGGTTCATTTCAGTACGAGTGAGACGTTGGGATTGGGTGAGTTGAGTCTGCAGGATACAATGAGTCGATGACTCCCCACTTGCCTGCCGAGGCGCTCGGCGCTCGCCCAATGCGCCCATACATCCAAAAAACCCAGTGACCACTTGACCGGGTTGACCCTCCAATCACCAGATGTACACCCACCTACCCAACCACCCACCTTCCTAACCACCCACATACCCAACCACCCACCTACCTACCCACCTACCCACTCGTCCACCGGAAACTGGCTAGTAAACACACCCATGAACCATCCAATCACTCTCTGCAACAGTGCAACCCAGTCAAATTGGGAGTCATCTTATCCTGCAGACTCAACTCACACAATCCCAACCTCTCACTCCTGCTGAAATGAACCCAAACCTCAACAAACCTGTAATGAACCAGATTCCAGAAGCTCGAGCCATCAGAAAAAGTAAAAGGAAAAACAGAAAAAGAAGCTCATACCATCATGCATCTTCTCTCAAAACTCGAATGAATGACAACTGGGCAGGAATAGCAAACGATGTCCCTTCTCTCTCTCTCTCTCTCTCCCTCTCTCTCTCTCTCTCTCTCTCTCTCTCTCTCTCTCTCTCTCTCTCTCTCTCTCTCTCTCTCTCTCTCTNTTTCTCTCTCTCTCTCTCTCTCTCTCTCTCTCTCTCTCTATCTATCTATCTATCTATCTATCTGTGTCTGTGTGCTGCTGCTCCTCTTCTACTGCTGGCGCTGTTCACCGAATGTGAAGACTGGGAGGTAACCAGCTTTCACTGCATTGATCAGTCTGGACGGCCACCTCCTTCGCTGCCTGAAGGGCTGAGATTCTCTTGTCTGAGCGGTTGGGATTTGTTTGTGGCCTGAGTTGTGTTTTCCCGCCCTTCGAACCGCACGTGATAGTTTCCCATCATACGGCTCTCCGCCACGAATCATCGTTCGATAATGTTCTCGATTTGATTGTGATGTATGGCCCTCGGTGACTTCTGGAGGCGTCTTTGACTCTTGGATTTCTGGACCTCGTCGAGCCCGACTGCCGACTTTCCTGGGGCTTTGTCTTGACTCTGTGGACCAAAGCTATTGACTCCTCAGGAGGACTTCAATATGTCCAGAAGTAGAAGTTCAACTCATCTAAAATCCGAGTCAGCGCAACAACAATGTCGACTTCCCTGGAGCTGCTGTGTCTTGTGTCAAGTTGTGTGTGCTGTACAATCTCAACTCTGTTTCAAATCCGCTACAGTAGCTCAGTCAACGCAATAACGTTGACTTCCCTACAGTAGCTCAGTCAACGCAATAACGTTAGACTTCCCTACAGTAGGGGACGTTTGACCCCACAACGGCAATGAGACTCAGTCTCAGCCAAAGCTACAGCCCAAGGACTTCTGCATAGCTAGACCCTAAACCCCTTTAAACCCCTCTAACCCCCTCTGACCCCCTCTAACCCCCTCTAAAACCCTCGACACCCCTCTAAACCCTTAAAACCCTAAACCCTGCAAACCCGAGGCCCTAAACCGCGAAAACCCTAAACCCTTTTTTTTTTTTTTTTTTTTGGAAAACAATGCTCCAAGCTATTTGTGGGGAGCAGCATGTGCTGGGAACCGGGGCCCAACTGACCAGTTTTGGAAAACACATGGAGACCAACCAACCCAACATCCCCATCAAAGAACTACGGAACAAAAAGAAGTTGGTCAGTCACCGTCAGTGACTCGATGGACTAAGCGACACATCCCTCAATTTACCAACCAACCGGGCAACGAGCCAGATCAGGCCACACTGACCAGTCTGAGACCCAAACCAGACTGAACCAAATGGAACCAAATGGAACCAAATGGAACCAAATGGAACAGAATAGAACCTCATGGAACTGAACGGAACTCATCTGAGTCAAACTGAACCGAACAAACAGAACCAAATGGAGCCAAACAAAAGCAAACAGAACCAAACGGAACCAAACGAAACCAAATGGAACCAAATAGAACCGAAGGAAATGGAACCAAATGGAGCCAATAAAACCAAACAAACGGAATCAAGCAGGACCAAACGGAACCAAATAGAACCAAATGGAACCGAATGGGACTCATTATGGGAGCAGATAGGACCAAATGGAAACAAATAGAACCGAGTGGAACCAAGTGGAACTGAATGGAACCATATGGAACTTAACTCAGCCATTCTGAGCCAAACTGAACCAAACAAGCGGAACCAACCAACTGAACCAGCCAACCTAACCGAACCAAATCAACAATGGAATTGATAGTCAACTTTGTTTTCTCTTTTCTCTTTTCTTTTCTTTTTCACTTTTTTTTCCTTTCTCAAATTCTCACCAACCCAAGAGCCGACCCACCTAACGACCAACCAACCAAACCCGAACCAATACCCAATCGAACCAGCACGAACAATCAACCCAATCCCAAGCAACAACCAACCGGCAACAACCGGTACGGTGGTACCCAACCAGACCTGGAACCAACAACTAGCCACACCCTAACCCATAACCAACCAAACCCTACACCAAAACCCAACCAAAGGTGAGTCAATGAATAACCAACAGGAGAGCCAAGAGAGCCAACCAAACCGTAACCACGGACAAACTACTTATTAACCTCAAGCAACAACCCAACCTGACCTCACCAGACGGTGAGCTCAATCCCGATGATGACTATCTTACTCTATCTAGACCCCAACAACAACCAATTAAACCCCTATTCAATTTCAATTTGGCTGAAGCAAATGAAACTCGAACAATCATTGACAACCAACAGTGAACCCAGAGTCTGACAACGAACCAACCAAACCACCCAAACTGAACCAAACCAACTCCCAACTCACCTACCCACCCACCCCCCAACAATCGCCAGCCAGCCCCGAACCCCCAGCCAATTTCCCAGCCCACCTGCACAACCAACTGCAATGAACCACTTGCCTTACAGCGAACCCACACCGAACCCACACCGAACCCACAGCGAACCCACACCGAACCAACACCGAACCAACACCGAGATGGAGAGACCAGATTAGCGCAGCTTAGAAACTTCAATGGATGATCATATTATAAACAATGATCAGAGTTTGAGTCACAAAGCGCTCATTGGGGTGTGTAACCTGGTTCATCCCTCATGTCACCCTCATTCAGTGCAATAGCCAGCAGTGAACCCATTACTTCGTTTCATTTTCCTATTTCCTTGCAACGCTCGTCGCTCACCTTGTAGAAAGTGGCTGTAGAATGTTGGCGGTGAAACGACTCCCATGCGTCAACAGGACGGTCACCATGATGAGGATGGCGATTCCTGTCATTGGTAACATTTAAATTGTTGGCCGATGAATCTGCAATCATACAGCCATCACATGATGAGGACAGTTTGATTGGACAGTTTGAATCACGAAATGACTCATGTCGCTTATCTCAGACTCATCTTCCAATCTACTATTCAGAGGCGGAAACAAAAAAGACAACAATAGCCATCCTTTTACGCCCCCCAGCTTCTCCCCAGGGCCCAGGCCCCCCTTTTCCCTTCTCCTCGTCAGGATACAAAATAATGCGGATTAGCTCCACCTTGATGGCAAAAATTAAATAAGATGTTAAGATTTGATTTGGAATATATATATATAATATATATATACCGGGCAGTTCTATTTGACGATATATATATATATTCACAGAAGATGCAGGACGTTTCTGTTGGCCGGCACATGGCATAGCTGCAGCGAAAATGGAAAAAGTGTCGAATTCACATGGTGGTTATATTTGACAGTCAAAAATATTTTTTTAGCTAGGCTGTTTTCCCGGACGCCCGGGCACCCAACTTCTGCCCGGGTACACGCCCGGGTGCCCGGCCGGGCATGACCCCCGGGCAGGGTTCCGGGCAGCCCCAGCGCCAAAAAAAAAAAAAAAAAAAAAAAAAACGAACTCAAAAAATTCCGGAAAAAAAATATGTTGTGTAGGATTGAAATGCAAACCACTTTTGGCTGAGGGTCACATTATGATTCCTCACAGANCCCCCCCCCTTGACAGCCAACTCGCAAAAAACGAAATGAGCCCGGATTTGGAGTCCTCTGGTAGAGCGCAGAAAACCAAAAAAAAAAAAAAACTTTGAACGCCCCCGGCGTCACGCCTGGGTGCCCGGCCGGGCGTGAGAATCTTCCTAGTTTTTTAGTTTTTTTTAACTATTTTTCTGGAAAGATCACGACTTAATCTACAGGCCCTCTAGATTTGATGATTTTTAATGCATTCTTCAAACCGTGAAAAAGCACTGAAGTTAGGATACTTTTTCCGTTGGCCCACACTTCCAGATATTTTTCGTAGGAAGATCAGGACCTGTTCTACGCGCCCTCCGATTTTCAGGATTTTCAACACATTCTTTTGAGCTGGAAAAATCACTGAAGTTAGGGTACTTTTTCCGTTGGCCCACACTTCGCGGAGTGGCAAAAATGGAAAGTGAACCCAATCGGCGCGGCAACTATTTCAGGGTCGAATTTTTTTTCCTTTCAAATTGTCCTTTTTTTTTTTTTCCTAGAAAGATCACGACCTGATCTACGGGTTCCCACAATTTCAGATTTTTCTGATTATCAGTTTAAACCACCAGTACCTACCGATTGGGGCGGCCGTTAACATGGAAGCCGAATCGGCCTGCCCCTCCGGTCCAAATTCATTGGAGGCCGGGGGGCACGAAAAATGCGGTAGGTACTGGTGGTTTAAGCGCCAAAAATCGCCAACATTAGGGTACTTTTTAGTTGCGGGACTCGACCCACGGTAACCAACGGTGGCCGCCCTTCCGAAAAACCTCGCCCTAACTCACTGGAGGCAGGTTTCTGGGTGGTAGGGGACAGGTGGTTTAATGAGTAGGGAAGCAAGGCCCAGGGAGCTGAAGCTGCTAAGAGCATCACCACGCCGCAGAGGCCTGGAGCCTCAAATAATCTTCTCCATCGGAGGCTACCGTCTTCACCCAAATAGAACGGCCGGTCATTATAGCTGTATTTGGCACAACTTTCAGCCCAGATAGGACGATAATTACCGGGCGTTCTATTCGGGTGAAGACGGTAGTTTAGAATAAGAACTTGCACTCTTGGAACAGAAAGGTCTCCCAGCCAACAGCCTCAGAACAGAAGCCTTTTTTTTTTCTTTTGTTTTTTTGTAACAAAAACATCCCCTGCAGTGCTGGTAGCCGCACCACTAGTACCTGGGGGGAGGCTCCATCTATTGGTGGGGAGCATCACCTGCTGGAAAATGGGTCCAGCGTCCCATATACAGAATGCCTCAGGAAGATATCAGGAGAGATGACTGAGAAAACGCCTGCCAGAATTGATTACTTTGGCATCCAGAGGATTAACTGTGCTGCCTGTGCAGTTTAAACCACCAGTACCTCCCCATTGTTTTTTACAAGTCGCGGCCGTTAGCGCACCGCGACTTTCGGGGGTCGGGCGAACGGACGCCCGGTCGCTGATATTTCAAAAAAAAAAAGAAAGGAAAAGGGAAAAAACAGAAAAAAAAAGAGATTCGAAACAAAACAAAAACAAAAGAAAAATGCACCGCACGGGGTGGGGGTAAGACTCAGAAACAGAGAGAGAGAGAGAGAGAGAGAGAGAGAGAGAGAGAGAGAGAGAGAGAGAGTCCCGGCGCATTTGCCAGGCACTGCGGGCAGTGGCGCTGCAAATGCGCCGTCTCTCTCTCTCTCCCTCTCCCTGGGCGCGTTCCACAACAGAACGGACATTGGCTTTCGTTCTTTTTTTTTTTTATCAAGTAACTCTAGCGTTTTTATATTTCCTTCTTTTTTTCCTTGGTTTTAGTTTTTTTTTCCCGACTACCGGTAGGTGTAGGCTCGGCCAGGGTCGGGCAACAGGTAGCGGGAGGGTACTGGTGGTTTAATGAGAAAAGGAGAAAACCTCTTCGCCCTGTGCCAAGCGCCAGATACCAGCTGTTGAGAAACTAGTTCCTCTCTCCCCCACTACCCCTTCCCACCCTGTCCCAACCGTCGTTGCCGCCCCATCCCCTACTTTCAATCCCTCTGTTCCACTCACTGTCCTGGATCGTGACTTGGCTCTCAGAAACACTAGCCTTGTGCGGACTCTTCCAACCCCCAGGGGCCACCAGGGGTTGGTCTTTGTCTGATGAGCAACAAATGCGATCATTCAAGAACCTCCATCAGGGAGAAGCCTAGAAGGGATGAGGTGGGAAGGGGTCTGGGAGATCGGACGGGGGTCTCATCGGGAAGGACGACTCAATGTTAGTCCAGTCATTGAAAACGAGGCGATAGTCCCCGGGGGGGCCCTGTCTTGACAAATTTGCCTGCTTACCCCCCCTGTCCTGACGAATTGGCCTGATCTACCCCCCAATGCACTTGAGCAACCCCCTCCCCCCCCCCCCCCCACTCCCCCCAACGTTCCCCCAGCCCCCCAGCCAGTCCATGCAGAAGCAGGTAAGAGCTCGCTTGATGTCCTGTGCAGTGTGCAGTCTAAAAAATGTTCAGTTGGCTTTGACTCCTTTGAGTGTGTGCCATCTATTCAACACTTCCAACTGGATCTGTTCCTTGGACAGCCTCAGATCTGAAGCCTACAGTTTGTTGCAACCCCCTATTTCAGAAATTTGCAGCTGCAACTTGAGCAGCTTGAGCAGCTTGAGCTCCCACAGCTTGATCAGCAAAAGCGCACAGGAGACGGATAAACGTTTTATCACTGCGTCCACTACCAGCTAGTTCTCCTCAGTCCAGCCTTACTTCAGAAATGGACACCCTTAAAGGCTTAAGCCAGCACTTCCAACTTCATCACAGTGGCGAGCCGGTGGTTAAAGGGTGTCCGTTTCTGAAGTAAAGTTAGACTGAGGAGTAGCTGCGCGCTCCGGCACCCTTAGGCCACGGTAGCCACCAGTTCACAGTCACAGGTTAAAGGGTGTCCATTTCTGATTCAGACGTGAGCTTGACGAAGATACCTACCAAGGCTTGCAAGCCTGCAACTGCGCCTTTTCAAAGTGGCCTCAGGCTGCCGGTTTTGATACCAGCGCGGTCCCGGGCCCGGGCCCGGGACCAAGTTGAAATGCTCTTGCCGCGTGAAGTGGCAAGAGACTAAGAGCAGTACAGTAGCTCTACTTCAGGTGAACTGGTGGTTTGAGGGCGTGCAGCTACCATCTTCACCCGAATAGAACACCGGGTCATTATAGCTGTATTTGGGCCAACTTCCAGTCTAAATACAGCAATAATGACCCGGCGTTCTATTCGGGTTAAGACGATAGTACTCCTACTTGAGTGTGGGAACTGATAGAATCATTGAGCTGACCTGCCCCAGGCAATTCAGACATATTTGGTTTTTACTCGTGATCAATCAAGTTCGATGATCATCTGGATTCAAACACGGGTCCGTATTTTAACAGTTCATGGGTGTGTGTACCCACTGAGCTAGGCTCTTGGGTAGCTGGGGTACTTTTTTTTCATTTTGACAGAGAGTTTGTGCTGTAACACTGGCAGCTTCTTTTGAGTGTGGAACCAGCAGTGGATTCTATGCTTCCTGTTTTTTTTCTTTTTTCTTTTACTGTCACTATTGTATGGGGATAAAAAAAAAAAATAATAATTAAAAAAAAAATCAGATTCATCCAGTGGCGTAGCTCAGTTGGTAAGGCAAGCAGGTGGCAGTCAGGAGGTCTTGGGTTCAATCCCCATTGGCCTCATGCACCTTCCTGGGCAAGCTTGGCGCCCGCCACTTAGAGATATGCCGTTGGTCCCCCCGAGTGGCATTGAGCAGAGACTGCTGGTGTTCATAGGGGGAGGGGACCACCACCTGAGGGGAGGCACAGTGACTGGCCCATCGAAGAAGCTACTACCGGCTGACCCCTGGCCGGTATCGCCCACCTGCTGGTGGGTGCAGCTCCCGCATGTTCCCTCGTTGGAGGCTTGAGCACGGATGTGGCTGCTATGGGGTTCCCCGTAATACTATAATGACAATAAAAAAGGCCTGTCCAGATTCGACAGGTAATTGGATTGGTTGGGCTTAAAGAATTAGCCTTAAAAAAAAAAAAAAAAAAAAAAAAAAAAGAATCAGATTCTGCCTTTTTTTTTTTGGTCTTTCCAAAAATATTAACACACTGGGAAAATTGGGAAAATAGTTCAAAATACCCACATAAGTTGAGATAAATGCCGAAATGCCCCTGAAAGATGTGGGTAGAGCGGAATGCCCTTTTCGACCGAAATCTGTGTTATGCAGTGATATGCAAGTGTCAGGCTGGTGCACGAATTTGCAATCTGAGCCACCTGCGGGGCGTGGAAAAGATGGCAAGTAGGGGCATTTTTCAAAGTTGGATGGTACTCGATGGGGGTATATTGCAAAGATTGGAGGTCCAG